TGAGCTTGATGATTAATAAAGTGTTATTCTTCTCAAGTTCCTTCAATATATTTTCATATTGAATCTACCTTTTAATTTCTTAATATGTTTTAACTAACTTCCATGTCTTCACTTAACTATAAATTTCTCTAAATATTCTATGTTACAATCATGATTTTATCTTCACTTATGACTAAAGGAAAAGAAAACTGAATTGAAGCAACAAATTCAAATAATTGTATAATTTCCAACAAAAAGAAAATTAGAAAACATAATACAGACAAAAAGATATGACGGGAAAAGGAAAAAAAAGGGAGGAAATGGCTAAAATGGTAATTGTATAGTTTCAAGATAAAGCTCTGAGCTACAAGAGTATTACAGAAAACTGAAAAGGGAAAAATGGACTACTCCTGTGGTGTCTGCCTTTGGGTACGTTCTAGTGTAAATTTAAATTTCCAACAAATTAATACACTGATTTTGCAGCTCTCCATTCAAACCCAGCGTCATTAAGCAAAATTCATTACACAACATTTGTCAAACATCTCTAAAAAAACAACAGGTAAGTGAAAAGGAAAGCATCTTGTATCTGAAAACTAAAGAGCCAAAAAAACAATTCTTCTTTCAACCAATTCACCTATTCAAAGAACTGATTAAACCAAAAAGCATAAGAAACACAAAACCAGCCACAACACATTTCAATTCACATCCCAAAACCCTCATATTCAATCCAATAAGGCTTGATCAATTACCTTAATTCCAGTGAATGGTTGGCGAAGTTCTTCTTCAGGTACAATTAGCTTCGCGAAACACCTCCTCCTATATCCGGATTCTTCAATAGCTTCTAAATATCCCCCCTTATACGGGAATCAATGGCCACCACAGGCAGGAAGTTTGGTTTTGAAGAAGAGAAGATTTCACGTTTCACTCGTGAATGTCGTTGTCATCTGCATACTCTTCTTCAAAGTATTCATCTCATTCTCCCTTTCAACCTTCTCAATTTTACAGTTAGATTCGATTGTAGCAATCGAGGTGAAGGCCATGAATTTTTTATTATCCTGACCACCAGATGTCTCATTCTAAGAACTAGTCTCTGACTCCTCATCACTCATGGTCAGCTAAAGCCTTACTACATTCTATGCCCAAACTCCTTTTCAAATTAGGACATTCACTCCTAATGTGACTATACCACTTGCACTTATTGCATTGAAGAGATTGAGATTTCTTAACGGGAGTCCTAGAGGTGTTTTTCTCACGCCTACCTCTCGAGAATTTACTAGGGACTTCAATATTTCGCTCCTGAGGCACTCTTCTATTCATCATCACCTTCTGAAATGTTTTAACGAAATAAGCAAGTCCATGGTCTCTAAGGGTCTCAATATCAGTGGACTCCCTCTCCTTTTTTTCTAATGGTGTTTATGGCAATGGATTTAACTTTTTAAGGTTGTAAGACTATGAGTTCATAAATTTGAAGTGATCCTACGAGTTCTTCAATCTTAACAGTATCTAAGTCCTTACTCTCTTCTATCGCAGTCACCTTAGGTCTAAACCTCTCGGGCAAGGATCTAAGGACTTTTCTAACGATTTTGGTCTCGGAGATCCTTTCACCTAAGTTAAAGCTTGCGTTAACTATATCATCCAACTTTGTATAGAACTCATCGAACGATTCATCGTCCTTCATCCTAACCTCTTCAAACTTAGTGGTTAACATCTATAGTTTAGAATTTTTAACAGTTTTGGTACCCTCGTGTGTGATTTCTAGTATATTCCAAACTTCTTTAGCAGTTTCACACATCTACACTCGCCTAAACTCTTCAGCAGATACTATCATGAAAAGAGCATGTAATGCTTTACTATTCCAGTTGCATTCATCAAGATTAATTTTAGTCCACATTGATATATCAGTGGGTGTGACTACACCAACAACAGTTGTTAAAGTAGAGTCCATGCATTTTGAACTTTCCAGTAGGCATAGTTGTTTCCATCGAAAAACGGAGGCACAGACAATGACTGACTCATCTAGATGTAATAAAAGGCCAGGAATCGAATTAAGGCTCTGATACCAATTGAAAGTTACGCAGTTCAACCCTAACAATACCAAGAGGGGGTGAATAGATATATTATGTGGAATTAAAAATATTATAACAANACCTCTTTACGTTGTTGCTACTGAAAGTTACGCAATTCGACCCTAACAATACCTAGAGGGGGTGAATAGGTATATTATGCGGAATTAAAAATATTATAACAACTTAGCAACAAGTCACCAATTGTTATCTTTAGATGGTTAAACAATCATGTCCGTTTAAACCTATGTTTGAATATCGCAGTTTATATGATCAATCAATAAACACTAACGAAAGTAGTAAATCAACACCAGAATGATAACAGAGAAATCCAACTAGGAAAAAATCTTAGCACTTTACCAGTCAACAATCCACTATAAACGATATGTAACTTACAATTTACCAACATAGACGTTGACACGTACTATCTGATCTTCTGACTGTAATTCCAACAACTTTCCTGGATTCTGTACTCCTGCACCACTCCCAGCTGTAGTTTTCAAAACTCTCCTGGATTCTGCTCTCCTACAGTAACTCCTAACTTTATGAAATCGTCTATTTCCCATGTATCAACGAAAAACACCGCGTTCTTCACAAACTAAAACTTCAGTCAAACTTCCTCGATCTTCAGAACTCTGATCAGATGTAGAGAAAAAATAGTTTGGTATTTGGAATATGGAATCGATATTTTTCTCACTAAAACAATCTCACAAGATGAAGGTTAAAAGTTAGAATTGAATATTTCCCTCACAGATGAAGCTCTCTCAATGTTCAACCTTAAAAATCATGTTCAAATGTGTGTTGGTATTTACAAGTAGGTTAGAAAAACGAATGGGTCAGGGAAAAAGCCTTTAAAACGTGAAATAAAAAATTTTCGAATAAAACTATTGCTCGAGCGAGGGTTCAGCGACAGTCGAGCAACAAACTGTCGCTAGAGCGAAGGAGGGGCGACAGTCCAGCGACGATATTTCTGTTTTTGTAGCTCGAGCCAAACCTTGGCGACAGTTTGGTGAAAATCCGCGTCATTTTCCTCATTTTGCCATTGTCAAACCCTAGACCTAAAACTCTATTTTCAACGTATTTGCACATTACTCCTTGACTTTTTAAACAAAGTACTATTCAATCTGTTTTTATTTCCAGAATCGCCAATTACAAAATATCAAAAACCTAACACAATCCAACGTCTTGGAGTTGGTCACTATTTTGAAACCGAAATTGAAAAATCTCTCGGATATATATACGACACTTACCATGNTCGGTTACTAAGACAACAAGGATATCATGTCTCGTGTGGTAAGTAAAAATCAGAACACCTAAACATGCACCTAATTTGTTACATGCCACAAACATGCACAAAAAAATCATGTGAAAATGTTTTGTACCTAAAAGTTAGCATGCACCTCCTACATCTTTTTAAGGGTACATTTCATGTTTTTGGGGCTGAAACAGATGTTTTCAACAAATTCAAGGACCGCCAAGGAAAATTTGATGAATCTTTGATTAGCAATTTACAAGGCTTGTTAAGTTTGTATGAGGCTGCACAGTTCAGAGTACATGGTGAGGAATCTCTCGAGGAAGCATTGAAGTTTACTATCNGGAGGCTGCACAGTTCAGAGTAGATGGTGAGGACACTCGCGAGGAAGCATTGAAGTTTACTATCACCCAACTCAATTCCGTAGTCCTCCATGTGAGTAATTCTGTGACTAAACAAGTTAGGGAAGCATTGGAATTTCCAATTCATAAGACTATGACGAGGCTGGGGGCAAGAAAGTTTTTTCTATTTATCAAGAAGATGAATCACATAACGAGACGCTGCTGGATTTCGCAAAATTAGATTTCAACTTATTGCAAAAGATGTGTCGGAAGGAGGTATATGACGTTACAAGGTCAGTTTTTTCTCGATACAAGTTGACCATTTTCTCATAGTTTTAAGTAATGTCAAGCAACAGGTCTTATCAATTTAATATTGAATATAAATGCTAGTAATATTTTTGAAATTTTACTTCAGAAAATAAATTTTGCGTAGGTGGTGGAAGGCGTTGGAGTTTGAAAATAAATTACCTCTTGCAAGAGATAGATTGGTCGAATGCTACTTTTGGGCATTGGGAGGATACTTTGAGCCCCAATATTCTCATGGTAGAAAAATGCAAACCAAAGTAATCGCCATGCTTTCTGTCATTGATGACATCTATGACATTTATGGGACTCTAGATGAACTTACTCTTCTCATGGATGCAATTGAAAGGTAAATTATTTCAATGGATTTTTTATTATCTCATAGCATACTTAATAATTTATTAAACAAAATAAAGGTTCACCTAATTGAAGAGTTGGGAAAGACAGGGAAATCATACCTTGTTCACTACGTGATAGAGGAGGTGATTAATTAATTACTAGCTATATATCAAATGTATGTATTCCTAAATCATTAATGTTCCAAATTTCAGAAGAAAAGAGTGGTAAGGGCATGTTTTCAAGAGGCAAAATGGGAGTGGCTATATTCCGACCCAAAGTGGGAAACCATCTAGCACTTGTATATTGTCTTCTTCAGTTTCTTTGACAGACATTGGAGAGTTAGTGAGCAAGGAAGCCTTTGAGTGGGTAGCAAGTGATCCATTAATCCTACAAGGTTCAGAAATAATTGGTAGACTAATGAACAACTTGGTAGGATACGAGCTAAGAAGTTCATATTTTTGTCTTCGATGATGGTCCTTACAAACATACCACAAATCCAATAATCGATTTAACAGGAGAGTCGTGCTTTTCTCTCGAACCTGCAGGTTGGCCTAATTTGTTGTTTTTGTCTGTATTTTGTGCAGTTTGAGCAGAAAACATCAGCAGTTGGCTGTTACATGAATCAAAATAATGGTGCCTCAAAAGAGGAGGCTTTTGCTGAAATTCAAAAATCAAGTTACGAATGCATGGAAAATCATAAACCAAGAAAGTCTTCGTCCTGCTGTGCCAATGGCTTTCCTCGAGCAAGTTATTGTCAATCTTGCACGGGTCTCACATACTAGACATAGATGAGTATACTCTTTCAGCACACAAATTAAAAGATACCACAACTTTGTTATTGATTCAACCTTTGACAATACCATGATCAATCGAGTAATGTTTGTAATAATTGGAAAATACGGATGCCCATGTGTCTGTATCCGAAATTATTATATGCAAAGTCTTGGATAGATCTAAACGAATAAACTGTTCGACCTCCAAAATTCATAGGTCGAACCAATTTAATATCCATCAATTCTTTTCACATTCACCATTTTGTCTATGTTGTAAACACATAATATTATGCAACCATTTTGTCTATGTTGCACAAATATCATGTCACAAAGTTTAATTAGAATTAAGAGAGGCAGTCTTCCGTGTAGACCATTTTCCCCTTTTTTCATCCTTTGAGCGGAATGACAATTCAAGAATCAGAAACAATATTAAAATAATTTCTATATTTGTATGTGCTCCATCTAATATGACAAATACAATAATGAAATTCTAGTGCCTTCCATGTATTCATGACCACCCTATCAAAGAGTCCCTAATAAAATATTGGATCGAATCACAGAAAAAACCAAAATAATCAGAAATTCAATAATTTCTGTATTAATGCATCTATGCGCTTTTTCTCTCTTCTGCGCATTCAATAGACACAACTTTCATATGAAACCCGTCGTTTCATACACTGTCAATATTTTTTTAACGAGATGTGGGATAAGTATATTTTGTACACTTATCTAAACTATTAAATTAGAGTTTTGTTAGTAATTTGGATGAGTTATAGCCTAATTTTGTGTTAATTATATTTTTTAGGTTGAACTCAATGCAAATTGGTGGATTTGAAAAAATTGAACGAAAAATGTGCGAAAACAAAGAAAATTCAAAGTTTGGGGACCAAAGTGTAAACATCCAATAGTTGATTCAGAGCACAAAACGATGATTGAAGATCATAGAGGATCAATTGAACGAAATTGGAGGTCAAATGAGTAAAATATAATTGAAGTATTTTCACAAATCAATTTTCAACTGAAGCTTTTTAGCCTCAATTTGATACCCCTTTTTAGGATGGCAAACGTTTGATGTGGGAAAATTTTTATCTTTTATCTTTTAAATTACCTTTCCAACGTATTTTGAATCACCTCAATCGGATAATTGTAGAGAAAATTATGACCAAAATACTCAGAGCTGCTCAGAGACGAAGCGAAGCGAACTTGCACTCGCGACCAATACATGACGTGTGGGGCACCCCATCCTCCCCAACCCGAGAGCCATTTGGTTCTACGACTTGCGCATTATTTATACCAGTGCGCGTGGGGGCCATTTATGGGCCTAAACTGCCCAACTCCTAGTTTGATTCAATTTTGTGTGGAAATCAAATTCAATCTACTATTTAACCTATAAGGGGACATAGAAGAACATATCAAAATCCTATTTTTCACCATAAGAAGGAGGCTAGCACAGGATTCAAAGGCAATTAATACAAAAAAAATTGAAGATTCAAAGTCAGACTGAAGATTAACGAAGAAAAATTTGATTTTTCACTTTCCATTCATTATTTTCAATTTTCGGGTGATGTTTTTCCAAATATTTTTGTGTAATTTACATGAAAACATGCTAAACTAATTATTTTCATGTATTGGATAAAGAAGAATCATATTTGTTATTTGTTTTAATTCAAGACTAATAGTTTAATTTATTTATTTTTTTGCCTTTTTTTATTAATTTTGCATATCCATTG